GGTGGGGTTACCCATGCCCGTATTGATGAGGATCCCGGGATAAGAGGACACGATCTCTGCTTCAATAAGACGTGCTAAGAAAACCGCCTCGCAATTTGTGCAGTAGCTGGTTGAGAAAAACGGTTCGAATAATAACCGGGGCCATGGCGTGATGTCACGTTATGAAAAGTTGTCGGCACATTTGATTTGTGGAAATATTATACTCTCTACGGTGGTGTGTAGAATTTGTTTTGCGGAGCCGGACACTATCCTTGTATTCAAAATCTTCTATGGAGTATTCGAAGGAGGAACCCGCCTTGCAATGCCGAAGACAATCTGCGCGCCGGACTCATCCTCATTGAAGCCTGGTTCAGGGGCTACTGAGGGAGTCCTGGATTAGGGGGTCCTCGGACAGCCGGACTATATCCTTTGGCCGGACTGTTGGACTATGAAGATACAAGATTGAAGACTTCGTCTCATGTCCGAATGGGACTCTCCTTTGCGTGGAAGGCAAGCTTGGCGATTCGGATATGTAGATCTCCTCCCTTGTAATCGACTCTGTGTAACCCTAGCCCCTCCGGTGTCTATATAAACCGGAGGGTTTTAGTCCGTAGGACAACAACAATCATACCATAGGCAGGCTTCTAGGGTTTGGCCTCTCTGATCTCGTGGTAGATCAACTCTTGTAATACTTATATCATCAAGATCAATCAAGCAGAAAGTAGGGTATTACCTCCATCGAAAGTGCCCGAACCTAGGTAAATATTGTGTCCCCGCCTCATGTTACCATCAGCTTTAGACGCACAGTTCGAAACCCTCTATCTAAGATCCACCGGTTTTGACACCGACATCAGACACACAAGTCCCCTCAAGGTCCATGTGGCTGGGAAAAGTGGGAAGTCAAAGGAGGGAGTTGGACTCAACTCCTAGTCCAACTCCTGCCCCTTGGTGCGCCAGCCCTAGGGCTTGGAGGGCTGGCCACCACGCCCCTCCACCTATTACTAATTTGATGGTTCTAGCTATTGTTGCCCTGGACGTCTTTTGCACGATTTTTCTTTCTATAGTTTGAAAGTAGAGACCAAGAAAATCAGTAGGACTACTTGTAGTATTACGTGTGGAGAGACCCCAATAGTTGGGCCACTAATCAATGGTAAGGACCTGGGTGACCGACCCTGGGGTTGGAGCTTAATACCCAAAACCAAATCAGAACAGCTACATGATCATTTATTGAGCAGGGATCGGGCATGTAGTGTTGTGTGCACAGAGGTTTCAACTTGCAAAAGCCCTCTATAAGGCTGGTCATAATGGGGAGTAACGTAGACTGGTGTCATGCATATGATACTAGTCTAAATTATTATCTTCATAATGCAAAATAACATAGTAGTAGTGTCATAGATTGCTTCATTTATTAGCTTATAGACTCATTTTACCTCGAAAAACACTATGTTACAGTAACATATTATGTTACCACAAATACCTCTTTTCTCATTAAATACTTGTCACATAAGCAAAATTGTCTTAGGATGTATTAAGTTACTACCTAAGTTATCCCCACTATGGCTAGCCTAAGCAGAAATGTTAACTGTCGACCGTCAACTAGAGCGACCCTTCTATCTCTTGTCGGATTCGTTTGCACGGATCCCAGCGCGGGTTTCTAGCCACGTCGGATCCCCTAACCGCGGGTTTCTAGCCACGTCGGATCCCCTAACCAGTTCGCTATAAGTGAACTCTATTTATTATAAGAAATGTCGAGATGCCATTTTTTATTAAGAGATGGCATTTTTTATTTATTTAAGAGATGGTATTTTTATATTAATAGATGATATTTTTATATTAAATATGGCATTTTATTATTATTAAGAGATGATATTTATTATTAAAGATGGCATTTTATTATTAAGAGATGGCATTGTTTATGATGGCATTTTAACCCATGGCATTTTTCGTTTTTTGGTCTATGGCAAAAAGTGTTCTCTATATTTGTTTTTGACACAGTACAAACGCAAACGCTCATATACACGCGCATACACTCACCCCTATGAACGCACACACACGTACACCATACCCCTGAGCACCTCTGAGAGACTGAGCCGGCATATCATCTTGAAATTTACGAAGTCACCGTAGGCATCTTGTCGTCGACGGAAACGTCTTCTCCCACTGAATGTGCATTGCCAGAAATTCTGAAATAAATTCAGGAATAAATGTGAGCATGAAAATAAATCCAGGATTTAAACCCTGGTGGGCTGGGGATACCACAATCCCTCTAACCATCCAACCACAAGTTAGCATGGAAATTTTCATTTTTGTCAGATCATGGCATTTTATAATTTTGTTTTCTTGTTTATAAAAAAAGTATGTTTTTAAAATCTCTTTTTTGAGTAAAAAATCTCTTCTTTTTGTGTATATAGGAAAAGTGCAATTGGGCCTGTAGGACTGGAAACCTAAGGGGAAGCTAAAGGGGCCTCTATGGGCTGGTTCGGTCGATCGCGGCCCTGTTCGCTGGTCGATCCACCAGCCATCGAACCAATGGGGATCGAACGCCAGATATTGCAGTCCTTATCAAAAGATTCGTAAGAAACAAACATCAGCAAGCACTTTACTGCTCAGTCCAGTTTCAGATAAATCTGTGATGTGACCACACTTCCTTCAGTCGATGCCATGCTCAACACTTGAAGCAAAGATCACACTCTATTCATGCGGCAGCCAAAGATGTCCTCCAAAGTGACCAAAGCACTCAACTTTCACATCAGATGTTCCCACCAAAGCAAGGCTCCCAGATCAGCCCACAAGAGTGCACTACAACCTAATCAAAGACTAAAAAGTGATGATGATCTAGTCCATAAAGTTCAAGCAAGAAGCGAACTGCCCACATCACGGGGGCAAGCATCCAAATGTCCAGTCAAGTGTCAAGATCAAGTGCCGACGGCAGAGTGGCCGAGTCCACATCCCTTTCAGGCTGGTGGGGTGGAGCAACTCATCCAGGTTGCGTTAGATGAATCTTTTCCGCGTCGTGAGCAAAGCGCTTGCTCTGAAAATCACAAGCCACCTCAACAGGCACAACAGGTCATGTGCATTGGAAAGTCGAGGGTACCATTATACACAACTGGATGGTTGCCATCTGAACGGCACAATTTGCCGATATGGCACACTAGGTAGCAGGTCGTTTGGCAATCGGCATTCTTCTAACCACTTCTAACAAATGACACTTTCAGCAAGTCATAGATCGCATCCTTCAGCTTCCCCTAAAAACTTCCTTACTGCCAGTAGGTAGAATGAGTTCACGAATATGGTATCTAGCCTGAAATCATACAGCTGGAAGGCCCCCTAACAACAATACAAGACGGGAACCTGAAATTGCCATTACATGTATGCAGGGCAAGACACCACTGCACATAAATCTTCCTGCCATTAGTGCTGTTGGGTTGTTGGGAGGTTACGACCTCTTCTGGAAACACCATTTCCTACACAGAAAAGTAGCATGTCAGCAATGACTGGTAGAATTATCACAACCTTTAGATAAAATAACATTCTGGAACACTCAATAACTTTGAATGCAAAGTTTGTTACTCTGAAACTAGTGATCCTTCTGTTCGGGAAAGCTATCGTTTTAGAAGTCATTCAAGATACCTACATTTTGATACATTTTGCTTTTCTGTTGAAGGACTCAATCATCAGCTATTAACATGCCAACATTAAGCACGAGTTCTTTTAGTGATCTCCTTTTGCTGCTAGTTGGCAACGGGTCATTTCTTCTTGATGTTTAATGATAGTTGGTGTCAGGTCTTTTCAAATGGCATTTAATTAGCACCACACACCTTTCACCTACTCTGGTTGATGTGATCATGATGGGCGTGGATGATGTTCCAAAGTATGTGGTTCCGGTTAGACGCCAGACGAAAGATATGCACGCAACTATTCAAAATGACACCAGCACAGCTGATACAATTCAGATCGTACCAGCGAATGAAGTGAGACCCACGTTCAGGACTCCATGCCAGTTTTTAACAGTGGGCAAAATTCAACTAAAGTTGAATTGAGCTCAGTTTCAACATACAAGTACTGTGTTATTTTTATTTCTTGGTTCAGCAGTATAGTACAGGTTCGTGTGATCTAATGTCAAGTGTCTTTTAGTTAGTACTAGTATGTGCGTGTGTTGCTAGTTACAAAAGTCAAAGTCTGAAATAGTAGTACTAATAATAGTCCGGTCAGCTTTTAGAGTCCAATTAGGATACGAGTCCTAGTCGTACAATTGTAACAGAATCAAGTGCCTGCGAGCACTATATATAGGGCCATCGGCCCGTGTACGGGGCAGTTTTTCTTTGGCTAGGTTATTTCCATCGATGGATAGATCGGCAACTGGGGTATCTCCAAGCCGCCGCTGAATATTTGTTGATAGCTATTGAGGCTTTGTGATTTTGGTCAGAGATTGATTCTAGAGTTTCAGTTTCTGCTGATCTGCCGAAGATCGTCCACGTACTTCTTCTCTCGGGTGTGCGTGTTGTTTTTGTGGCGATTGCATCTACAAGATCGTGAGCGCTACACCGTTTCAGGTGACACTGTACCGTGAAAGATTGGGAAAGTTATTAGCACCGTCGTTTTTCTTTCGACGGTCGCATCACTGGTATTGTACCACTCTTCTATCTTTGAAGGATGAGTATGGCTTTATCTTGTTTGAGTGCTGTCTTATAAGACTGTCCTATTTCACTGACACTAGCTTGCCTGAGTTCCTGCAACAGGGCAGTAGCTTGAGAAGTTTAATCTTCCACTCTGCCAAAATCCAGGATTTGCTTCCTCGCGTAGCATGTTTCAGTTATACATTTTTCTTACTTTAGGACTTGGCCCTTATTGAGTTTATTTTCAGTCTTGTAGGCATTCTGTACAGTTTATTTTAATATAGATTTATCAAGCAGTGTCATCCATCAAAGTTCTCCTTAAAAAACAATTGTGTGGTGCACATTATATTTGGTATACAACATTTATAATATTGCTTTGAAACAAGAGAAAATAGCTTACCTTGGCTATTCCTGAATTTCTTCTTTGATAAAACAGTAGCTTGCTAAGGGACAAACAGCCTTGACATCCTTGGGTTTCTCGACTCCTAACTTTATCGTACACAATTGACAAAGCTTCCCATGAGTAACAAATAGACAATTCAAGTCAAACTTCAGATCATCAGGAATCTTATTATTCAGATGAATGTATGCTTTCTCCCTAGTAGCTGTTGGAGGAACCCAACCAATAGCCTTTGTAATGCGGAGTACCTATTGCAGAAATATGTGTTACCAGTTACCACGCATATGTAATGCACGTTAAAATAATGCCCAGAGATAACAGTTGACCAATAAAGATTCACGTACATGAGTATCTACTGGAAAGTCATCCTTTTGAAGATAGAACATCAGGACACATGCCACCTGTCATTACATGCATAATTATATGAATGCCATCAGTCAGATGCTTGATTACTCCAGCAGCCTCACATTATCCAAAAATCAAAGAACCAAAATAATAGGATAAAACAACTAATTAAACAGCATGCAGAAAGTTACATAAACATTTGCTATTACAAACCCTTCTTCATTTGTTCTGAACAAGGATGTCAGAATCACGATTCTGTTATACGATTCTACGACTTTACGATCCAAACTAAACCCTTCGATTCTACGATTCTGGTTCATAGAATCTAAGTTTCTACGATCCTGATAGTTAAGATTCTACAATTTGCTATCCTACCATCAGAGCTCCGATCCGATTCAGAATCATGATTTTGAGAACCTTGGTTCTGAACAAGTCTGTTTGAGTTCTGTTGTGCCACACAAACTATAAAAGGCTTAAATATTGATGAGATTTAGCAACCATTGTGCTCAATATGTGAAAACTTTAAAGAACCTCTATTTGGAAGGCTAAAATTGTAGTCGGTAGTGCCACAGCATCAGTTAAGCACAAAGAAACACAAATCCATCAAGGCGACAAGCCTTAACACATTTGTTCTAATACCTCCAGCATACCACAAGAAGATGTATAACAGTATAAGATTTTGAGTTTTGCATACTCCATCCGTAAATTGGTGACATTTTGGACACTGAGATGGTCTCTAACATGCATCTCCGACCATTACTTTTTGTGGGTATATATGATAATAAAGTTATGAAGTTTTTTATTGTCAAAGTATTTTTCATGATAAACATAATGATACTATTTTCATCTTACCAATCTAAATATTGTTGATAAGTTACTAATCAAAGTTATAGAAGTTTGACTGTGCGATCGTTATGAGGTCATATGCATTTACAAACGGAAGTGACATCATAACATGAAAGTTAATCCGCTTAAGCACACCACATATTTGTAGTGTTTTGTTCAAAGGCTATAGTTCCGGTGATTAAGTACAGAATATCAAATAAAGCTACGAATAATCCGCTGACTTCTGATCAGTATTTCTTGACTCTCATGAGGCGCAGCCTTCTTACTTTACCATGAATTGCACTGAACTTCACATACCTCCATCAACCAGAACAGAAAGCTCATTGCAGTGAAACAACGAGAGAGATGTAGTAACTCACCGTCTTTGGCCCAATCCCTTTGAACTGCGAGAGCTCCCTCTTGACCTCATCCACGGACAGATCCCGCAGGTACTCAAGGCAAATGGCGCCCCTCTTCTCCCTCACGCCCCTAAGCATCGCCCGGATCCTCGCTGCCTTCGTCGCCGCCAGCCCCCCGCACCGGATGGCATCCTCCAGCCCCATCCCCTCCTCGTCGACCACCTTCAGAACGGAACAATGAAGATACTGTTATGGGCGAGGGGTTCTAGAAGCTTCAGGAAGGGGCCTAGTTAGCCATCGAGGACTCGCTGCTACAGTACCTACCTGGTCCCAGGAGGGGAAGGCGGCCTTGAGGGAGGCGAATGCGCGGCGGGAGATGGCGTCGGTGGTGTTCTGGGAGAGGAGGGTGGTGACGAGCCCGTCGAGGACGGTCGGACGCGGAGCCGGCTGGTCGCTCTCGTCCTCCGGCGAGAGGCCGAGGCGGAGGAGGCGGAAGGGCGCGAACTCGTCGGGGAAGCCATGGAAGGCGAGGAGGGCGTCGCGGACGGCCAGGCATTGAGCGGGGAAGGGGGCGGCGTGGCCATGGTAGGGCTCCAGCGGAGAGTCGCGCCTCGACGGCGGGGCCGGCAGCTTCCGCTTGGGCTTCCGGGTCATCTTACCGGCTGCGTCGTAGAGGCGGCGGTCGCCGGCGATGCGGGCGGTGGGGAAGGGCAAGTGGGTGAGCCAGTTGTGGGCTTCTAGCGAGATCCAGGCAAGCCTCGCCTGAAGCGAGGCCCAAGATGTGCCGGCCCAGGCGCGCGGGAGGCCACAGCCTCTCTTTTTTAGTTTATTTTTTTTACTTTTGTTTATACTTCCAAATATTCTAAATAAAAAATATGTTAACCAAGCATTTTAAAAATGTTAAATGTGTATAGAGAAAATTTTTCTCTTGGATACAAAAAAATACAAATGTGTATGGAAAAAGTGGATCATGTATTTAAAAAATGTTAATAAAGCATTTGAAAAAATGTTTAATTGTGTATTTGAAAAAATTCAGCATTTGAAAAATGTTAAACGTATATTTAAAAATGTTGATGATGTATTAATTAAATGTTGACCATGTATTCAAAACATGTTAATCTTGTATTTGAAAAATGTTAAGTTTTTATAGAAAAAATATTGACCTTGTATTAAAAAATGTTAATCTTGTATTTGAAAAAATATAAATAAAGCATTTGAACATGTTAAATGTTTCTAGAAATTTTTTGACCATTCATTAAAAAACTGTTAATCTTGTATTCCAAAAATGTCAATCAAGAATTTAAAAAATGTCAAAATGTGTAGAAAAAAAAGTTGACCATGTATTCAAAAAATGTTAATCTTGTATTAAAAAAATGTTAAATGTATAATAGATATATACCAAAAAATGCACAATGTGTATGAAAATGCAGACATCAAAAAATATGTTTTCACAGATGTTTATCAAGTATTTTAGATATGTTTAACGTGTGTAAAAAATGTTTTGGCTATCTATGTTTTTTTTTAATATGTACTACAATAAAGTTAACATGTGTTGAACAAAAAAGAAAACGGATGAAAATCGACAAAAAGAATTAGCAAAAATAAAAGGCAGAGAAAAACAAGAGAAACAAAGAAATAAGCAAAGAAAACAAAAATATAACGAAGAATGATAGAAAACAGAAGAAACCCAGTGAAAAACAAAAGAAAATCAAATTTATAACTAAGTAAAAAGAAAAACCAAAGAAGAAAACGATGAAAACCAAAGAAATATGAAGGGAAAAATCTAAAAGCAAGTGAAAACCGATAAATAAGTGAAGAAACCAGTGAAAACAATAAAACCAGGGAAAAACAAAGGAAAAACAGAAAACCAGATAAAACTATTGAAGAAATAGACAAACCCGAAAGACAAAAAACCAAAAAGGAAAAAACCAAAGTGAACTACCAAACGGAACGGATCAACACTGTGAGCGCACCGTGCGAGCAAATGAACGGGATGTCCATGTACTGTAGCGAGCAGGGGAAAATCTTCAGTGAACCGGGCATACATCTCGCTATAAGCGAGATATAGCCCTGGCGTTGTCCTAAGTCTAACATTTTCAAGTTTGACTAAATCTATAGATAAATATGCTACGCTCACATTTATAAATATAATGTTAAAATATTTTCATAATGAATCTATTGAAACAAATTTGGTGTTGCAGATGTTAATATATTTTATATAGGCTTGGTCAAACTTAATTATCGACCCCCCCCCCCGGTGGTATGGATCAGCATCGATCTAGGTTAAATTCAAGATTGGTTTTGCTAAATGGTTTAATTCATAAGTAAATCATTATAGCTTGGAATTATACAAATAAAGTACGCATGTCAGTAAAGAAAATGTGTAGAATATGTTTATGACATTGTCTTTTCCTGATCTATAAGGCGTGCGTGTGTGGTGTGCAATGCCGAGAATAACATCCTATCTGTTTTGGATCCTCGTCCATTAGCGAGCCTCGTCGAAAGAATAGAAGATAGGTTCAAGACGATCAGATTACAATTGCTTAATGTGGTGAGAAATTTGCATGTCAATTTGCTTATTAACCATTTAGGAATACTAGAAGGACTCTACGCGCTTCGTTGCGCTGTTGAATGCTCCGGAAGTTCCACTGCCAACATGTTCTATGATTCCAATGTTGTAGCAGGTGTGCAATGCCTTCAAGACATGTTCATTGTGTGATGAAGGAAGCATACATGCATGATCGCGTGCAAGCTGCAAGTCAAATCTCATTGTAATATGAATGCAATTAAATCAAATTAATGTAGTACCTTCGATCAGAATTAATTTACGCGGACTCTATACAAGCCTCTATATAATTTATACGGAGGCTGTGTCAATTAATTCAGATAAGAGGGAGTAGCAAACCTCATGAGTTACATCTGTTTAGAATAATAAGAAATAAACAACCATAGTAATAAGACTGTATGTGCTCTACTACATATCTATACCTCTATACCGTATGTGAATAAGTTTGAATATGAATCGTTGAATGAACTCAATCCGACGGTCAAGAGGTGGCAAATCTGAGCGTTGGTGACCATTCGATTTTCTATCAATTACATTAGAGTTTGCCATGTGTACTATTTAGAAGTTTCCAATAGTTAAAAACTCAGTACACCCTTTGCACTTGTCACATATACTATCGTTATACACTTCTCATTTATTTTAGAACCTTCCATGCATGATCTTGCTTCATTAGAGTTTCTCTCTTGAATAAAAGTGTATCCATTTGTGATTTAGTAGAATCTCCCATGTATGCTCTTGCTCAATTAGAGTTCTCGCTTGAATAAAAGTGTATCCATTTATGAGATTATTTGTGAATTTTCACTCATGGTGAAAGACTTCTGATGAACCATTTCTTACAGTCCATATATCTTTTCAGAGAATTTCAACCAAACGCCGCAACACTATCTTTGCGTATTCATGAATTTAAACTTAAGGTCCATACATATAATATGTTATATACAATTGTTGGAACACTATGTAGCTGTTACTGGTAAGGTAAATAAAGCCAGCACGAGACAGAGCGAATAGAATATCTGCTTGCTTTCAGTTAAGATAAGAAAAACGGGGAGAAGACAAAGCACCAATGATCCTATGTCATTTCTAATGCAACCGCACTCAACCGGGCTCACTGCCTACCCTAGCCTCTCCGCTCCCCTAGCCTCTCCACCCCCCCCCCCGCCGGCGGCCGCTCCGGCCCCGACGTCTACCCCCTAGCCCCCGCCGGTGGCCACTCCGGCCCCAGCGTACACTCTCCCTTCATCCTCGTCGGCGCTCCGGCTTCGGCGCCCTCCTGTCCCCATGGCTGACGGTTCGCGCAGCCCGCCGTCGGTATCCTCCACCTTCCCGAGGGAGAGGCCGATGGTGTCGGGGTTGGGGATCTCGGCCTCGGTCGGTTTGGCGCGCTCGTCGTCTGCGGGCACGGCGGTGCGGTTGTGGTGGCGGCCCTGGAGCAAGGCTGGAACAGGCCGGGGCCGTCCCGCAAGGCCATGTGGCGGCGTCGCCGGGCTCTGCGTCGCCGGGCTCTGCGTCGCCAGCAAGGTGCTGGCGGCCAGATCCGTGCAGACTCTCCCACTTCATCGGAGAGAAGACAGATCCCGCCGGACCTCTACGGGCTCTATTTCAGATGCTTCCAAGATGGGCACAGGAGACAAGACTACAACAACGACCCCCTCTGCATCCGCTGCGGCTACGCCGGGCACGTCTCCTCGTAGTGCACCCTGCCGCGCAGCCCTATGTCAGAGGAGGAGCTCTGACGAGCGGTGATTGCCAAGGTTGCCAGGCGGGAGCCGACACCAAGGCGGTTGCCACCTTTGGGGGAGAGGCTGTTGGAGCCTAGGCAGAGCGCGCCACCGGCGCGCATCTCGCCAGTCGCGCCCAGCTTTCTCCCTGAGGTAGCCGGTGCTGCCTTCTTGGAGGCGCCAGCGGAGGTGTGCATCGTGCAGCGCTCGGTGGGCATGGATGATCTGGAGCGGAGGCTCAAGTTGGTGGTGGTGGCGTACGTGGGTGGCTCCAGGCCAGCCACATCCTGCACGGTGGTGGCGGAAGCGATTTCGGCACAGTTGGGCATTCCAAGACACAAGTTTTCCGTCCACAAATTTTACCCGGAGGACTTTCTGGTGGTGTTCGCGGCGCACGAGTTCAGGAACAGGGCGCCGGCGGTGCCGTTCGTGGAGCATCAGGGTGTCAAGATTTTCATCAGGCCATGGCTTCGGCAGGCACAGGCAACTTCCAGGCTCATGCGCGTCCAAGTGGACCTCATGATTGAAGGGATCCCCTCGCATGCCTGGTCTTGGGACACGGCGGCAGAGCTTCTCGGCAGTTCTTGTCGCATCGACGAGCTTGCGCCAGAAACGGAGAGCAGGGAGGATCTCTCATTGTTCAAACTGCGTGCCTGGTGCATTGATCCCGACGAGGTGCCTGTTTTTCGGCGCTTGTGGGTGCCGAAGCCACCGGAGCTGGTCATGGACCCTGCGGCGCGTCGTTCCAGGCATCAGCAGCTTCTGAGTATCCTGTGTTCATCCATATTGGCAGGCTGCGGGATTTCAACTCGCCGGACAACTGGAGGAGAGCAGGATCGGATGGAGACAACAGGCAGAGCAGGCTGCCGGACAGTGCGGACGGTTCATTCTCGGGCGGCGAGTGGACGGTGCAGCCGTGGTCGCGCGGTGTCTGCGATGACCGCGGTGCTGGCCGGAGAGTCCAGGGGCCGGCGGGCGGTGGCGCAGGCCACGGTTCATACAGGCAGGCGCTGGTAGGTAGGCTGGGGCCCTCTGAGTGGAGGATTCCGGCCATGATGTCGGAGGTGCCAGTGGGGCAGCTTATCCCATGCAATGATGTGGTGAGTAGACCGGTGGCGCGACCAGGACCAAGAAATTCAAATAACGCACCAATTCCGGGGGCTACGCTGGGGGGACCGGCCCCACAGGTGGCCAATGGGGTGGTGCCAGCAGTTGAGCTGGTCACACCGAGTCTTGGGATTACCACGGGTGAGAGGAGACAAACCCCGCAGGTGGAGGCTTCGGATCATGTGCTCTCTCAGCTAGCACAGGGTCGTGGTGCGGGCCCCGAGGCAAACAAAGTGCTGGTTGGTGATCAGGATATGGGCCCT